AAAAAAAATAAATAAATAAACAGCTAGGCTGGGTGTTGTAGTATGCATCTATAGTCCCAGCTACTTGGGAGGCTGAGGCAGGATTACTTCAGCCCAGGAGTTCAGTACAGTCCGGGGAACATAGCAAGATCCCATCTCTAAGTAAATAAATTGAGTAAATAAATAAATAAAAATAAACAGCTATATTTGGATATGTCTAAATCATAACTATTGGCTCAACGCCTGTAGCTCAGTAGCTAGGGTGCTAGCCACATACATCAGAGCTGGCGGGTTCAAACAGACAGACAACTACAACAAAAAATAGCTGGGCATTGTGGCGGGCACCTATAGTCCCAGCTACTTGGAAAGCTGAGGCAAGAGAATCACTTAAGCCCAAGAGTTTGGGGTTACTGTGAGCTGTGATGCCACAGCACTCTACCAAGGGTGACATAGTGAGACTCTGTCTCAAAAAAAAAATCTTTAAATTATAACTATTAATGATTTTTGCAAATGATTGCTTTATGGGCTCGGTGCCTGTGGCTCAAGTAGCTAAGGCGCCAGCCATGTACACCTAAGGTGGCGAGTTCGAATGTAGCCCGGGCCCGCCAAACAACGACGGCTGCAACCAAAAAATATATAGCCAGGCGTTGTGGCAGGTGCCTGTGGTCCCAGCTACTCAGGAGGCTTGAGCCCAGGAGTTGTGTGAGCTGTGATGCCACGGCATTCTACCCAGGGGGTCAGCTTGAGTCTCCTGTCTCAAAAAAAAAAAAAATGACTGCTTTATGTATTGGTGATATGTTTAAATGATTACACAAACTTTTAAGTAAATTTTATTAGAAAGTTAATGTTGAAGTATTAGTAATAATATGTTCCTATAAAGAAATGTAAGACATTTTAAAGAACTGATTTATAATATAAACTCTAGTTTTATAACCCAAGAATTTAATTCAGCATGACTGACAGAATGTGGGGACTTTGAAAATCAGTAATTTATAAGTGATTTAGTCTTTAAGCAGTACTGCTGGCAAGCTAAAAATACATTCAAAGGATGGAACCTTTAATATCAGCATCTACAGTGGGTAGAGTAATACCATTTGAAAAGAATTGTTATTTTGTTTTGTTTTTTTTTTT